GAAAACTAATTCTCCGCCTTCACATCGAACAATACTTGAGCCAGTCCAATCAATAAGCTAAAGGGTTCACTACAATTAGGGTTTGCTACAATTGATTTTTCGTATTATGCAATGTTTTCCAATTTATACTAGAATTAGCTCACAACTCGTGACGTGTTGACTCAATTCTGATGAAGGTGAACACGGGAAAAGAACAAGATTTCGAATTAGCGATGAAGCTGTGATGAGAAAATGCGCGTTTGGTTTTTTTTGTGAATGGATGGATGTATGAAAACAACTGGTCGAATCGGTGCCGCCCGAAGACAGCCAAATACTAAATGTTCCCTGCTAAATGTTCAAAGGAGAAACTGCAAGATGAACCTAAATCATTCAAGTCAATTTTCCAATGTGTTTTGTACAAGTATTTCTTTGATTTCTGACCTGCCGAAGCATCGTGATGCATTTCTTGTTTCTACATACACAATAGTGTCTCATGATCGATCGCAGCGAACGGAAAACCCTGATTGAGTAGAACTCAGCCTTCACTACAAAGCAGTCAAAGAGATCCGGGAAGAGAAAATATCAATAAGACTAGCGCAGATCAGTAATCTTCCCAGAGGGTCCCTCAAGAGTCCTGCTACTTCGCCAATATAGCGTGGAAGTCTCATCCTCAAGGGGAGACCAAAAGTCCCTACCCTCTGATGCCTTTCTTTACGCGGACTTGCTGTGCTTCGCTCGGTCGACTGGATATGGTGTTAGATTTTCGTGTTTCGTGTTCTGTCAGTCCATCATTTACGCACCAACCATACTAAACTTTTTAATTACCCTCCAGGAAGGCATTTAACAGGTGAATGTGTCACTGTTTACGCAATCATCTCGTCAATCTTGCGCGTTCTCGTGCGCGCTAGGGCGTCCGTGCACGTTAACCACCCGTGGGCTGTCAGTCCATCATTTACGCACCAACCATACTAAACTTTTTAATTACCCTCCAGGAAGGCATTTAACAGGTGAATGTGTCACTGTTTACGCAATCATCTCGTCAATCTTGCGCGTTCTCGTGCGCGCTAGGGCGTCCGTGCACGTTAACCCACCCGTGTGTGTGTGCGTTGTATGTGTGTGCGTGTGTGTATGCGTGTGTGCGCGTGCGTACATCCGTCCGTCCCTCTATCCACTCGCACTTACTGTGCGAAACAATATCTGGCGGCTATTTCTGTCCGTAACTTTTTGTGTACGCAGTGCACAATGTATACCAGGGATGTTTTGGTCTTAAAATGTCATTGTAGAACAATTCCGGACAGACAGACAACTTTGAAAAAACTGTGCGGGTTAGATCAACAACAGCTGACTCAAGGACTTGGCGACTAATGTTTGACCAGTAAGCGACAAATAGAATGCAGGACAAGAAACGAAGTGCTGAGGGAAACGGTAAACTAAATCGGAGGTGCTATTGCTTCCACTCAACGTGCAATGCCCTTTATTTTCACTGGACTAGGTCACATTAATCTGGACCACCGTGGAGGCTTCTGGATCACATGAGTTGAGCAACCGGAAGCGGGAAATGATTGATGAGGAGGTATCAGTGAGACAGTGCACATCAGTAGAAAATGAGTTCAGATTACAGTGGGGGGCAACCTCTCTGGCTTGTTTCAGAACTTGACCATTTATGGTTGCCAGCTGAACCGAGATTCGAGGCTTGAAGGAGGAGTTCGAGGCGTTTGAAGTGAAGGAGGCTAATTTGGGCGCACATATTACAACAAAAGAAGACAGGCGCGATCGTATCTGCACCTTGAGGATCAGGAGACTGTACTAGTTAGAGCTCCACCCGTTGACCAGTCTGATATGAGAGGCTGTACGAGTGTCACATGGACACTACCAAGTATAACTCAACTAATTATGTATGTATACCAACTGTCAGTCGCTTGATAGCGGTTCCAGGAAGTCTGAGAAACCGCAAATTCCATCTTAGTTACCTGGCACTCGACAAAACGATTTGGAGAAGGACTATCCAAGATGGTTTCACACGCTTCGAAGTGCGAAACTTTTCAAGTCTGGAAAACAAGTGAGCAATTCTAGAGGTGTGAATCTCCCAAATGCAGCCTCGACCATGTGGGCTTGCAAAGCATGCGAGCGCATATGTCTTAGGAGGATCGGCCTATTAATCGATCGGTGCGTTCACTGGTCCATCTGATAAATGTGGTTACCTGGAGCTAAGGTAAGTTCGTTTTATTTTCTAGTGACCTCTAGTCTGATATTGTCATCCTAAGGATAAGAACAATAACCTCAGGATTGCTAGAATGCTACCACGTTGTGCATTACTACCTTGACTTCACACAACAACACAACACAACACTTACATGAGTTTCACCGAAGAAGCTTCAGTAAGACGTTGAAACTTGGAGGAGTTAGCAGATGACGCCGGTAAATCGATAATAAACAGGTAACTGGTGCCGGCGCAGGTGCCGCGCCCATTGTTAGCTTAGGCCAGCTTTTGGCCTGTGACGAGACTCGGAACGATGACCCACCTATCTAATTCCCTGGGGTTTATGGTGATGCCAAGAGTCTTCACGCAGCACCGCGTTCGGCTTCCGTGCACTCATCAGTGGCTTCCTGCCATGAGCGGGCATCCAATGGCCGACTAATCCAATTCAGATTCCAGCCACTCATTATCTCTTACTCATATCAACATGAGTTGGAAGTACACCAATAAAAACGAGGTTAGATGAATTGAGATTGTTACACTAACAAGAAGGAAATATTCTGAGGTCAAATTGGTGTGCTCTTCTGAGAGTAGAAGCAAGAAGTCGAAACACAAGCTTAAAACGTTTGTGTTCTTATCGGACGTCATTTGCCGTTTATCTGGTTGACCTGCTTCGAGATGCTGCTAAGTGGCCTTTGGTCTGATAGCCTGGTTGATGTTGTGGTGCGAACCTTTCGGAAACGAGTCTGCTACTTTTTCATAAGAGAAAACACTCACAAGGTTGCTGAAAACTCGTCGACAGCCCACGACCGGTTTCGCCCTTCTTGGGGCTCATCAGGTAGTCGCAGTCCCCGAGTTTCCGTCAACCTTATGTTCTACTTGAACCCAAATTAGACTGTTTTCGAAAAATACACTCATTTGCAAATTAATTTGGTTTTCACGAGAGACTCAAGTGAATCTCTCTTCTATGATATTCTAAAACTGAATGCGCTACACAAAGGCTGCCTCATGTTAAGAGTCTGGTGTGAACCCCGTTTTCTGATAGGCTACTTCTTAACTACAGCGTAGGTGCATGTTTATATTGGACTCGCAGCAGCAGAAGATTCGTTTGGACTCAGTTGAGTCTCTCGCCAAGACCAAGTTCGTGTGCAAATGATAGTATTTGGCAAATCACCCCCAATTTGCGTTCAAGTTGAACATAGGGTTGATGGAAGCTCGGGGATCACACCTACTTTATGAGTCCAAAGAAGGGTGAAACCGGTCGTCGACTGTTGAAGAACATCCATGAATCTTATGAAGTACGTCTAAAAACAAGAGATCTAAAGTTTAAATTAGGGTTCTCTACTCGCCTACCTGGAAAACACTACTCACAAGGTTGCCGAAAACTCTCCGACAATCCACGTCCGGTGTCGTGCTCATTAATTAGGCGTATTCTTCAAGTATCGGTCACCTTCATGTCCTGTTTGAAGCTAAATTTCAAGCCATTCATGGACTACACTCATTTGTATCTAAAGAAAGACCCAACTGACCCAGACTGAATCTCACGTTTTTTGTTCTGTTTCATCCTGTTAGATGTCCGAAGTCCGAACCCCGGCACAGCCAAGGAAATGTATTGCTAATGAGCTGTGATAAGCGAAAAACTCGAATACAGTGATTCTGTCTTTGGTGTCAACTTAACAGTTTACGGAAAACAAGGAGGACTGTTCAAACGAATGTTAATTCAGTGAATTGTGACCTTCGGTAATACGGGTGAGCTGGCAATAGGTTGTCTTGAACCACCTCAAGTAATTGGGATCTCCGTAACAATGGTGAACACCGACATTCCGCGTGGTATCCTCTACGAAGAAAAATAATTCGCAATTTTGGAGCACGGTCCAACAGAAAACATAAGGAGCCCGCATTTAACGCCCAAATGAAACAGATAGAAAAATCATTGATTGAGCGAATCTGGATGTGAAGGTGAATAGAAGGTGCTTTGCTCATGAGTTATGTGTTTAACGACTTTTTGCAATAACTTTGTAACTCATAAGAACCACTGGCGGAATCTTGCAAGGAATGCATATTTCAACAACCGCACGCAGCATTCAGATCACGTTTAGGCAACCCACGCTAGGCTGAGTCAACATGCGCATTACGGGCGTTGTACGGGGTGTGTACTTTTCCATTAAAGCAAAACTACAAGGCTTACTAAGCCCACACGTAACCAACCAATTGTCTGAGAACTACTCTCTCAACCTTTGAACGTATGCAATGCAGGAATGCACTTTCCACCAAATGAAATTGTCTACGCCCACTGCGATGAATTTGTCGCTTATATCAATACGCACACTCGTAATGGAGGGGGCGAGATGGACCAAGTGATTAGAGCGCTAATTTACTGACCGGAAGGCCCGTGGTTCGAACTCGACCTCTGCCTCTCGGCTTCCCCTGTCTAGGCTTGGGCAATCTGGCAGTATCCCAGCCCTCGTACTCCCTTTGGGTGGCATGGAAGCCAGGTACCGAAAGGATGCTACAGCTGAACGATCGATTACGCTCACCTCTTATGCTCATTAAAGTTGTGCTGATGGGCACAGGCTCTAGGGACCAAGCGGTGAAATCCTCCTGGACCCCCCACCCCGAAGTAAAGAGACTTTGACACATATAGCCCACCCATTCATTCATACTGGAAGCTAAGGATCCAGTTGATTAAATCTATGATTGTTGGCAGAACGACTGCGATGAATTTGTCGCTGAGATCAATACGTATGGATCAGTCAAACAGCACCCATTGGAAGCATGCTCGTATTCCACTGGTCCCCCGGGGTTTTACTTGGATATTCCCCAAATGAGACGTGGTAAACACCCACTTTACTATGTGACTAACTTGGATACTGAAAGACATTTAAAGTTGGAGACACGCGATCCTGATAAGGTATGTGGGAGGGTTGTTGGTCACTGAAGGCTATATTGTTGTGAAAATATTTTTGTCGGACGAACTAGTTAGATTCCGTTTATTTTTCGAAAAACTTTGGTGACAATCAGTAGATTAATTGCTGGACAACGCTTCCCCTCTGACACAAAAGCTTCGTCAGGCCAAGTGACTGAGTTACGAGGTTGGTCGAGGTTTAAGGTGGAAGGAGAACCAATCAACTAAGTCAAGCCAACTCTCTGTTGGGTGTCGGCCGAAGGTTTTTTGTGTTAGGGTGGTTGAACAAGTGTTGGGCCGATGGGGGGACCCACATGTGTTGGGTCCAGCCTAGGGTACCCCCGGGTATCGGTTGGTTCAATAGGCCAGATCAGTATGCATGAGTCACTCCAAGTTTCTGCTTTACTCTGCTGAATGGTCTGCTGGATGAGAGGTGGTTAGCTGCGATCAACCGGTTTGAGTAAACTGAATAAAAACGCTTTTCCTGTTGGGGTCAGCGCTTCCTCTTACGCTATTGGAAGCGTTTTTTCCATCGTTGGGTACCAGGTAGCAGAAAACGTCTGGTTCGGTGTACTGTTTTTTTTACCTGAATGTTCTGCATATTGGGAGTTTGCTTCTACGATGAACACGAAATCGACAGGTGATTGGTCGGTACAGTAGGTAAACCCACTTGATCCTAATTGAAGCAGCACAGGCATCTTCAATCTACAACAGTTGGAAAGACTCACTTCCGCTTTCTACCGACCGCTTTCTGATTTGGAAGGAATGAACTTCTTCCTTAGCACAGCGAATTCGACTACTGGTAGTGTGAAGAGGTCTGAAAATTCTCGATGCAGATTTCGTCCTGTAAGTCAAGCCAATCTATGCTGAAAAGTCGAGGAGCACTGTACAGCTGTTTCATCCTTGTTGGGAATGATCAGCAGCGCGCATTTCACAAAACTTCGGAGAGTTTCGGCTGGTAGATGAGCACTCAAACTTTCGATCACGAGCGGCTGATCAATAGTGTGATAAGCGCTCATTTAGGCAGGATTTTGGCGAGATACGCACAGCTCATTGTTCCCAACAGAGATGAAACAGCTTCTCGGCTGTTCAGACTAGATTGGCTTTACTTACGAGTCGGAGTGTCCGTTGTAAATTCTAGCGTGGTTGAGAAATACGGTTGTGTTTCGACGAACTGGGAATAAGTTAGTTGCAATCAGCAAAGTCGGTCTCCAACTCTACAGTTCTCATTGGAGCCGATAATTTCAGCGAACCCGAGGAGTTTTACAGTAGGATATCTTCAGTGAGCAACCAAGGGGTATAAGGCTTTGTTGAAATGGATTGAAATGATTGTACGGCGGAGAGGCACATTCGGTTTTGTCGTCAATAATGATGCTGATGACGATGACAATGAAGACGAGGTCTACATCCGTTCAAACATCCACTGGTGGTAAGCAGTTAGAGTCCTGTTTGTTGCACCCGATATAGACAGAACGTGTCCTGCGCAGGGTTCCACCACGTGCGGCTGAACACAGTTTGAAAATTCATATCCGCACTGCATGTTGTGGTCCCTATCACAGGCCGCAGCTCCACCAGGGGATTGCAGGAAATGAATGTACATTGTGTGTGTGTGTGTGTGTGTTAAAATAATCACCCCGGCTTTCATGATTTGTGTTTCCGTCGTACTCTATTTTCGCTTCCAGCCGTGCCCACGAGAGAACGATAAGATTAGCACGGTATGGCAGGGATAGCGGTATTGACACGATTTTTCCATCTTTGCTTCGTCAAAATGTGCCGGATAAAGTGCGGACGATGCTAGCAATTTTCACTGGATCCCTTTTTAGTTCGATCCAGACAAATTCTGACCTTGAAAATCGGAAAATCACTCGAATATTTCGTGAACATGCCGCAGTAAATACACTACGAAGTAAAAATAGACACCCGTTTTTTTCGGTCAGTATATTCTGCGCACAGATGGTGAGAGGTCTGTTCGATGTTACACGATACCGTCATAACCGTGTCACGTGACGAAACCGCTCCGGTGACAGCGTCCACTAGAGCGTGATTCTGCCGAATGGAATGACTACATCAGACCAGTCGGGCAAGAAAGTCAATTTAACTTTTGAACATTTTTTGTTAGGTTCTTGCTCGTGATTTGTGCTTCCGTCGTACTCTATTTTCGCTTCGAGCCGCGCCCACGAGAGACCGATAAGATTAGCACGGTATGGCAGGGATAGCGGTATTGACACGATTTTTCCATCTTTGTTTCGTCAAAATGTGCCGGGTAAAGTGCGGACGATGCTAGCAATTTTCACTGGATCCCTTTTTAGTTCGATCCAGACAAGTTCTGACCTTCAAAATCGGAAAGTCACTCGAATATTTCGTGAACATGCCGCAGTAAATACACTACGAAGTAAAAATAGACACCCGTTTTTTTCGGTCAGTATATTCTGCGCACAGATGGTGAGAGGTCTGTTCGATGTTACACGATACCGTCATAACCGTGTCACGTGACGAAACCGCTCCGGTGACAGCGTCCACTAGAGCGTGATTCTGCCGAATGGAATGACTACATCAAACCAGTCGGGCAAGAAAGTTAATTTAACTTTTGAACAATGTTTGTTAGGTTCTTGCTCGAAAAAAAACCTGGCCGAATTTCAGAATGTCCGGATTTGGAACACTACTTGCGTAGGATACTAACACTCTCTCGGAATGATCACAATGCGACATGTCAACAAACGAAAGGCTTGAAATGATGCTGTGAATCAAATTTTCATATGTGCGATTCTTTTTCTGACACGCAGCTTGGTATAGAGGGGGTGGAATGCGTTCTCGCTTAATCAGTGACAACTATTCTTTCATCCACCAGAAGCCCAAATCATAAACGTATCATATGTAGTTACAGAGTCCCCAAGACCTCTCGGTGCAGCTGGGTTCCAGGTGAGTCCCTCGAAAAACCAAATTAGCTTGCAAATGAGCGCATATTCGCTAATTTCATGCAACTTGGTTTCAAGTAGAACATAAGGTTGACGGAAACTTGGAGACTGCGCCTACCTGATGAGCCCCAAGGCGAACGAAACCGGTCGTTGGCTGTCGACAAATTTTCACCAGCCTTATGAGTGGTGCACTACAAACGTGCCATTTTGTTTTTATTCGCGCGACCTTGTCCACAGTAGTCTGTCCACCTTGGAAACGTGTGCTTTGGGTAAAATTTTTGAGTAACCATTAAAAAGTTTGTTCTGCTTCTGCACCTAGTAAGACATCTGCTCATTAAATTCATTGTCAAATATTCCTCCTTCTGTTGGTTGTGACTGTGCATCACTCATCTAAGCAGAGAGACGGGAGAAGTACTGCTTCAGTCAGCTGATGGTTTACAGTGAATGTCATTTTCTCGTGGTCTGTAGAATGTTCCTCCTGACCGGTCACGTGCGTTGTTGGGATGGTCCTCTCTCCTTGCACATGTCCCGTGCGTGACCAAACAACTAACATAACCTTTGATTTATTCAGTTTCTGAACAGGTGGACACACGGAAGTGTAGTTTGTGAACTTAGCACGCTACTCAGAGACTTGCTGAGAACTCTTCGACAGCTCATTACCGGGTTTGGCCTTCTTCAGGCTCATTAGGTAGACGTAGCTTGCAGTTTTATCTCAACGCTATGTTTTATTTGAACCAAAATTGGACAGAATTCGACAGATATTCTAATTTGCACACGAACGTGGTATTTACAGGTGAGTCACAAACCATCAGGTGACTGGCAAAACCTGGCAAAACCAGATTTATGTGCAAATGAGAGCATTTGTTGTATTCTGTGAACTTTTCCGGCAGTTGTGATGGCATTCTGTCCAAGCAGGTTAGTTGTGGACACGTCAGCTACAGAAACATGGACAGTTTATGAGCACATGGGCTGCTTGCATAACTAGGCTCTGTGTCACTCAGCTTCTACGAAAAATGAATGCGGCGAATCCCGCCTAGAATCCCGCTCCCTCCTAGACTGCCCACTGTAGTTTGGTTTGGTCTTTGGCTTGTCCGCTGAGCTGGACAGTTTGATTGGATTGTCTGGTTTCACCGAATTACTGTTGTATCATCTATGGGATGATTTTTCAACATTCGAGAAAATATGTTATCCCTGACGAACTTCATTATGTATTTTTCAGTATCGGCACAAAACACTAAAGTTCGAATGAGGTAAAGCTGGATTTAGAAAATCGCTATTGGGACTGATAGAAATGACCTTTGGAGAAGGGTGAGCGTTGTAGGCGGCATTCTAATACAATGCTTCACCGCGATCTCAACGTTACACGGAATTCGGCGTTTTGACACGGTTCTAGGGAAGAAACAACGAATCCTTCTAAGTGGTGACAAATGTGCTCTGCCGGCGTCGTTAAAAAAGTGTGACGGGACTAGACAGAATTTGTAGGGCGGATTTTTTAAGTCTATTTCCGCCACAGTGAGCTGACGAGAAATGTTAACAAACTGCACTCAGATTAATTCATATCACTGAACTTGCTAATCCTGTTCTACTGTGGGGAATTCTCACACTGTCGTTCAGCTGTAGCACCCTTTCGGTGCCTAGCTGCCATGCCACCCGAAGGTTGCACGAGGGTTGGGATACTGCCAGGTTGCCCAAGTCTAGACAGGGGAAGTCGAGAGGCAGAGGTCGGTTTTGAACCATGGACCTTCCGGTCAGTAAATTCGCGCTCTAACCCTTGGATCATCTCGCACCAACGATTAGTATCAAGTGTTTCTAATAAAAAAACGAGTGGTTGGTGCCTACTAGAAACTGGGATACGCAGTTTTCTTCCAAAAAAAAATGATCTCAAGCACCAAGGTCACTCGATACTCAGTCGCATACTCACAGGGAGGTTATAAATATGCCTGGCTACATGTGCAGGAATCATGAGAATTTCGTCAGTGTCGGGGATGTTCACGCGCTCTACTAGCTCCTTACATTTGTCACCGCATGATCAAACACATCTGCGCTGAAATGTTGAGTTATGCTGATGCTAGGTCTCGAAGTACTTAGTGGAGTTTTAAAAATATCCGATTGCCACATTTTCATGGTACATTTGGATGGGCTCGACTGAGTTCAGTTAAAGTTAGGCGAAATTGATCTATACACCACTCACAGCCACTGGCTCGTGAAACACTGACTCCAGAGGAGCAAGCGGCGTTTCGACCGGGTAGAGGTTACATTGACTAAAGCTTCACCATTTGTCGGATGCTAGAAGAACGCCATACGTACAAGTGCCTTGAATTTACAAGGCGCATTCAACTCATTTGAGGGGTCTGTTCTCCTTGACACGCTTGCCCATCAAGGACTGCCTCAGAAGTTCCTGAACATAATGCGTTCTTTGTATTTTTAGATTTCCGAAAGTGTGTGAATATACGGAGAGCTCTCCAAAAGCTTCTGCACACAAAGCAGTGTCCGCCAGGGGCACCCACTGTCTCCATTTCTATTTAATTTAGTGATCGATGAGATGATGAGACGCACTCTGGAAGGTCTTCAAGACCCTGGTGTTCAAATACCCTCTGACGAAAAACTTGCCCACCTGGAATATGCAGACGACACCGTTGTCGTCTTCGAAGGGGAGAAGGTGCAGTTGCTTTGGATGAACTAACCGAAGTCTTTTGGCGTGCTTTTTGCACCCACAATGTGTAAGGTTCTGGACATGCGGCCAGTGAACACGCCACTTATAATCCAGGATAAGGCACTTGAATTTGCGGAGCGTTTTACGTATCTTGGAAGTTGTATTAGTTCTCATCGTGGTGCGGCGAATGAAGTCAACACATGAATCTGTAAGACTCGGGTCACTTTTGCTAAGTTGAGACATCTATGGCATCAAGACGGTATATCCATGAATCTCAAGGGCCATGTGTATCCGGTTAGAGCGCGGGCTGTTTTGCTGTACGGTTTTGAGACGTGACCTGTGCGAGCAACCGAAATGAGACTACTTCAGGTATTCGACAACCGTTGTCTCAGAACCTTAGTTCGTGTGGGTTGGTATCGACGAATTCGTAACGAGGCAGGTATAAAACGAGTTTTAGGTGGTGCAACGGGGACTTTCTATTAAAGAATGTGTTCAGCACCAGAAGCTGCGTTGACTGGGCCATGTATCACTTCTAGTGAACTGTCGTTTTCTGAAGAGAGTGCTGTTTTCCGTGCCCGATTCAGTGACGGAAGCAGAGAGATGGTCAATCCTTGACCTGGCAGAAGGGTATGAAAGAGACTACAAAACGTCTGGGTGCTGTCTGTGCCACTCGCCTACCAGGATCGGACCGCGTGATCCTCACTGCGCCTGGTTGGAGACGCTGCATGATATGGCTTCCAACCGACGTCAGTGGCGTCCGTGTTGTTAGTTTTTGTCCAGTTTGCTTGAATGAGTGTTTGGAGGTATAGGCACCTCGGAATGATTGTAGTAAGCTAGCACTGAGTCCACATACCTGTCCATCTTTATTCTTTTCTTCTCAATAAGGCCTTTAAACAACTCATGGTTGTACGACAGCGAAGCATCAGTGTTGAACACTGATGTCATGGTGTCGATGGTGACGATGATGATGACGATGACTGACAATCACACCAGGGTGAAAATACAGGTGCGAGACATCCACTTCAGCCTAGCTTAGTTAAACTGTAGAACAGGAGAACGGTACAGTCTTTGTTCGAGCTTACGATGAACCTCTGGACTGCCATAGCTGGTGGCATTATTCCAGTTACGTGCAACTTGCCTAATCGGGAAATGGGATGCAGTATGAAAGATGTAATTAAAAGTTTTTTGAGATGCCTTTTTAATCTACTTTTCATAGACCTTCTGAAAAATTATTTATCCACTGCGCGACTCAGACAAGAAGCAAAATTATGGCCATTGGCACCGATGGCAGGGGCTGAATGTACATCCCCCTGCTGTAAATTGTGCGGTGAACAGGGAAACTCTTTCTGATAACAAAATCTGCAGAAGTCATTGTTAATTGATGGGACTGAATAAAGAGACAGTTTCTGTCTGTGACTCACGAGGCTTTAGGCGCTTGAAATCGATAGATCAATAGGATTCAAACATGAGGTGATCCAGCCTCTCTTTTCCCATTGTTTTATCTTTGTGTGTCGACTTTATCACTCAAGAAAGGCTAAATTTTGTTAAAACTTTTAGTTTGTTTATGTGTATGTTTGAATAAAACCTTGTACCTTCACAGTGTTGTTACATTCAGGTAACGTTTACGCCCCAAAATCAGGTGGCTGTTGTTATCGTCTGAATCGCCTTTGTTTACTCTCGTAATGGGCTGCAAATGACAGAACGTGCCTATTGTCCAGTATGTCTCAGTGACCTAGTTTCGGCTCACGTGACCGGATCTCCACTCACCTGGTTGGTCTGGTTGTAGCCAGGCCCACACGTAAATAAGTCGCTGTTGCATAATCGTCATAGCCATTTGAAGGTACGTAGGCACCTGACGATGTTCGCGATTATGGACGGTAATTGTCCGCTTTCCGGGCTTAGATACAGTCAGCTGCCTGACCGGTTTGTAGGGCGGTGTATGTGTGTGTGTGTGTGTGTGTGTGTGTGTGTTCACGGACGACCATGAGTGTGGATCACCGGAACTATTTACAGCTGCGCTTTCCCGTCCTACGTTGGTTTGGAGCACTTTTGTGTCATGTTCCGCAAGACAATCCGGCACACAAAGAGGTACAATGGCTGTTAGGGATAGACGTAATTTTAACCTGCAGGAGTGAAGTCCAACTGGACCCAAATCAGGCCAAGCAACAGTGACTAACAAAGCTACACGAATTCGAGAGAAAAACAAAGTGAACCGGGAGAAAGTTGGTAGCTCAGTTGGCTTGTTCGCCGAGCTGCGCGATTTAATTGCAAACGCCACTGGTTGTGCACAACCAATGACGCAGCTCCACACTGCATTCCGCTGCCTAAAGAAGCATTGATTATTTCATTTCAATTGACAACAAAAGGCCAGCAATTGAATTGGCCAGCCCAGTACACAAAACCACTAATGAAGTGAACCAGAATAACCGATGAATTACATGTGCTGTGAGTGTGAATAACCAATGAATCTTCATTGTTGGGTCTACCTACCAAGTTGTGGCTTCTGTGGAAGACCAAACTCATGTATTCCAGATCGATTCGGCCTTTAGAAATATTGATGCTTGCAGAACACAGAGTTTAGCCAACGCCAGTCCTTTCGGCAAAGTCTCCTTCGGTTTTTACTCCTGCAGAATTAACAAATGATCGAACTTGGGTCTGAGTACGAACTCACTTGTCCGGACAGCCAGGTGTAGATACATGCATAATCGGGACACAAAATACTTGAACAGCAACACATCTTGGAGGGAGTGAACTAATTTAGAGCGTTTTGTTCTCGTGCATGCATTTGCCTCTTTCGTCAGTTTATTTGATTCCTTTATTATTTTTATTTCCGACGCTCACACTTCAGAATGAGGGCTACATTAAGAAAGCTTCAGAAAAACTTGTACAGGGTGTCTCATAATAGACGCAAAACATAATGCTCACAATAAAACTTTAATATTGATCTAAAGGTTTATTATTTTTCGTTTCAACATACGTGCATTATGGAGGTTTAATGTGAACAGATTGGCGTTTCATAATACGATGCACACTGGCACAGAGAATGCTAGCCAACTGAGGCACCTGAGTTATTGACGAAGATGTCATGGTGCTCTGGGACTGAAGTTGCTCGACAGAATTCCGTACAATGGGCGCTTTTTCATCGCCCAGAGACTTTCTCCCCTTGCCAGAAAAATCCAACACAGATCCAGCGGACTCAAATTTCGCAATCAAGCGTGTAATGGTCGACACGGTGAAAGGATCTTTGGTGAGACCATGCTTGGTTTTGTAACCACGAAGTGCAGCGATGGCGCTTCCACCAAGGGAAAAAGAGAATTTCACAACTTCAACGCGCATACTGATATTCATTGTAAAAGAACATTAACACCTGTATACAAAACCTCACTTATGTAGCTACTGATATTGGAAGAGTTTTATCTATTCTTTGACTAGCTATGTTTAATTCAATTAAATTTTGCGTTTATTATGAGACATCCTGTACTTTGCTGATGCACCAACTTTTCAGACCTCCGATTTGATTGACAGATAATCTTTGAAAAGAGTACTGTGATTCGACAAAGACCAGCTTTGTAGTCTGATAGACAAGTGTGACTGGCTGTCCATAATTAGCCAGCAACCGATGAGATGGTGAGACGAAATTTGAACGCGTAGACGCATGGAAAACTACAGAAAACCTGTAGGATTCGCATACATGAACTACCATTGTCAGCCATTTATGCGTACTATGTTTGAAGGAACAGAGAGATGAAAGGAATTCATTCCATGAGTTAGCAAAATGCAGCCATTTGCAAACAAATTTGGTTTTGCGGGAGATTCACCTGGAACCTGGCTAATTTCGTACGATTTGGTTTCAAGTAGATAATAAGGCTGACGGAAACTCGGCCACTGCGCCCACCGAGTGAGTCCCAAGAAGGGCGACACCGGTCGTGGGCTGTCGAAAAATGTTCAGCAACCTTATGAGTAGTGTAGATGAGGAGGAAATTATCCCTTCAACCCCCCACTGACGATCTCATCTCCACTGATGATAAAACGTTTGCAATCCTACTACCAAGCTTGGTGAACAGGCCAACAACCAAGTCATTTCTGTCCTAATCTCACCATCAGAAAACAACACAATAGTTTGGTTTGACAGACCAAATTTAACCAGTTTTGCAGCCGGTCGGAAGGAAGATCGCGAAGAATGCATACTTGGTTTTTAAACTGAAAATGTTAAAACATGAATGCAATCGACTCTGTGACACAACAGGGGGTTTTAGACTTTATGGTGGACTGAGGGAACCACACAGAATTACCAGTTCTAAAAGTTGCTTGCCTATTATCAAGCCACGCCTTTTCCGATTGGATAAATCACAGTAGGTTGTTCCGACGCGAACAGCGCAACCCACGCCAATCCAGTGCAGTTAAATGTGTCGGTTGTGGGGAAAAAGTGAGCATAAAGACGGCCGGCTTCCCATAATCTGACTCATGATCTTCGAACTTGTTTGCATTACTTGGGTACACTGAACAGTATTATCTGTCATGCCCATTTCGGCAGCAGTTCGCCATCGTCCATGGTACATCTCAGTTAAACAATTGATTCAGTCCACACAACAGTGATATTCACAAGGATAGGAATCACAAAAAGTTGCTTGCCTATTATCAAGCCACGCCTTTTCTGATTGAATGAATCACAGTGGATTAGTCCGACGCGAACAGCACAAGCCACGCCAATCCAGTGCAGTAAAATGTGTCGGTTGATGAGAGAGCTGAGAGTCGCAATTTCACACTAGTCCGTTCTTCATGTAGTCGACTCCCAGTATTTGAACCGTGTCACGGAACACACAGGACTAGGATGTGCAAATTAAATGCACTAATGTGTGCGTGTGTGTGTGGGGAGTCGTCTCAGAACCATCCAGGATGTGGACGTATTTAGCCCATCTAGGAACTCATGGACGTCGAATAGTGAACAAACACTCGCACCACCTTCTCTGAATTGACTTTGGCGCCTATTCAGCACGCGATGCGCTCCCACATGAGGAGCAGATGTGGCG